AGACGGTGGGCAACACCAGGAATTTACGCTGCAGCACAAAAAAATTTGTGAGAACTGTAAACTCTGCAAGCAATATGCTACATTGCAAATTAACCTGCCACAAGGTAAAAGGCCTCCGGCCACCTTTCCTTTTCAAAAGCTCCAAACTGATTATGCTGAGATGCCTAAGACTCTGGGTTATGCATACTTGTTAGTGATTGTAGATCAGTTATCCGGATGGGTAGAAGCTTTCCCAACAAGAAAGGATGATTCAAAATCAGTGGTTAAGATTTTGTTAAAACAATTAATTCCACAATACGGTGTTCCAGGAATAATTGACTCAGACAGGGAAGCACACTTTACGGCAGCTATTTTGGTTCAAATATATCACGCGTTAGGAATTAGACAACAATTACACACCCCTTATCATCCAGAGTCCTCTGGCCAAGTAGAAAGGATTAATAGAACCATTAAGAAGTTAGTTAAGGTTTGTAAACAAACTGGATTAAAATGGCCAGAAGCTTTGAACTTAGTTTTATGGGATATTAGAAACACTCCAAGAGAGCCTATAGGAGTGTCCCCTGCAGAAATTCTTTTTGGTAGACATCTTGCCATTCCAGGGACTTACATTCCAGCAAAAACTAGCCTTTTGGATGGAGATGAACAAATCACTCAATACCTTTTGTACCTCCAGGATTCTTTTTCCCAGAGGAGAAATCATGCCTACTGGTATCAAGGTATATCTCCTGAAGTCCAGGTAAATGATATAGAACCAGGAGATAAAGTTTATGCAAAAAATTACAAGTGGAAAAATGGATTCGAACCAAAATGGGAAGGACCATACACTGTACTATTAACCTCTTTTTATGCTGTTAAGGTTGCTGAGAAAGAGACCTGGATCCATCATTCTCACGTCCGGAAAGATACTGAAGTCCAAACCTAGCTACCTGGTTAAAGAAAGCTTTAGTGTCCTTATTTTTTTGTTGTAATAATGGTTGGTTGTCTGTTTCTGATTTTTCAATGTATAGTGACTCGTTTTATGTCAATTGCTAAGAAGTGTCAAAAAGAAGTTTGGAAATACAGTAATTCGTAATTGCAGGGATGCAATAAAAACAAAAGGAGGGAATGTTAGAGACTGATTACAGAGAAGACTGATTATGACTACAGAATAGAATAAAATCACAGAACTAGAACATAGACTCCATTGTGTGAATACAAGTGTGTTAAGAAACCATACGATCATGGAATGCTGCTCTCAGTTGTCCCCTGCACAGGCCTTACCATGGCTGGGTTAAAAACCAACTCACCTAGC